TTCAAACCCACCAGCCACTCCTCGGAAGGAAGGTTGGGCAATCCTACTTCCGTAGTGATACTGCCTTGGAAACCCAAGGTGGGGTCGCTATGAGTTGGGGCGACTCGACGGCACATAACAACAACAACATGCTGTAGATATTCAATCATATTATAAATAATTAAAATAGAGTGGTAACAATAGTTGACAAATGAATGGAATAGAACATGAAGTCCAGCAATAGACCTAAACACATACAGGAATTTAATATACAATAAAGGTGACATTTCAAGACAATAGAAAAAAGATGAGTTATTCAATTCAATACCTACAGATGGGTGGCTATGAGGAAAAAAATAAAGAGGGATCCCTACCTAACACCTTACACCAAGACACATTCGAAAAGGATCAAAGATTTTAAAGTAAAAGTAAAAAAATCATTAATAAGAAGCCATAAATAAATTACACATGTAAAAACATTGAATTGTTAAATGTTTTGTTATATATATTTTTTTCACTATATTAAAAACCATGGTGGGGGGGAGAAGAAGAAACCATAAGGAAATGTTTTTATAATCTTAGAGTGGGAAGATTTTCTTAAGTATGACACAAAACCCAGAAAGCCATTAAATAAAACATTGATAAATATGACTCCATACAATAAGCAATTTCTGCATGTTAAAATGGTGCTGGCAAACCAGATATCTATTTGCAGAAAAATGAAATAGTATTCATACATATACTTCAAAAACAGTTGCAGCAGCAGCCATCTAGATGCAACAATGGGTCTCTCCTTGTCCAGAGCAAAGAAGAATGAAGAAAACCAAAGATGCATGAAAACAATTAGTCTAAGGGACTGGTACACCATTGTGATCCTTAGCCTATATGACTATGAGACCAGAAGAACTAGATGGTGCCCGGCTACCAATGTCAACCACTTGGAGAGGGATCTATATTTGTTTGTTCTTCTGGCAGATCCTGGATAGAGTGGGAGAACAATGTGAAACACAAAACTCAAAATCATTAAAAAAAAAAAAAAAAAAAAGGGACCAGGATTGCTGGTCTGAGACTATGGCCCCTAGCTGCCATTCAGGTCTGGAATTGAACTCACTCCTGTGGCTTCCAGCCAAACAATAGACAGGCATATGAGCTAAACATTTATGTTAGATAGATATACTCCTTGGAGAGATCAATCATGGGAGAATAAAAGGGCAGCGTATGCACAGGGAGACAGCTCAGGGGGGCAAGAGTGCATGAAGGACACAGGGAAGAGGTAACTGGGAGGATGTGGAAAGACAGATGTTGTATTGTGGGAAATTACAGTCAATGTCATGAGACAAAGTGTATGTGAACTGCCGTATGGAAAATAAATTTGCTCTGTAAACTTTCACCCAAATCACAATAAAAATTAGAAAAATAAAAACAACTACAACAACAACCAGTTGCAGCAGTACATCAAGAGGAATTGCCAGAAATATAAGCTAGATTCAGAAGAGGATGTGGACATGATTGCTGATGTCAGGTGGATCTCAGCTGAAAGCAAAGAATACCAGAAAGATGTTTACCTGTGCTTTAGTGGCTATGTAAAAGCATTCAGCTGTGTGGATCATAACAAATTTTGGATAACATTGTGAAGAATGGGAATTCCAGAACACTTACTTGTGCTCATGTGGAACCTGTACATGGCCCAAGAGGCTGTTGTTTGAATAAAACAAGGGGATACTGAATGGTTTAAAATCAGGCAAGGTGTGTGTCAGGGTTGCATCCTTTCACATACTTATTCAATCTGTATGCTGAGCAAATAATCTGAGAAGCTGGATTATATGAAGAACTCAGCATCAGGACTGAAGGAAGACTCATGAACAACCTGCAATACGCAGAAAACACAACTTTGCTTGCTGAAAGTGAAGAGGACTTGAAGTACTTACTGATGAAAGAAGATCAAAGACTACAGCCTTCAGTATGGATTACACCTCAACATAAAGAAAACAAAAATCTTCACAA